GCTAGGGATTTTGAGCATTTCTTCATGTGCTTGTTAGCCATCTGAATGTCGTCTTCAGTGAAGTGCCTGTAGAACGGTGTTTAGAGCTCTTGTACATAGGGTTTGCTATGAATCGCAAATGACTCGATAGCACATAACAACAACAACAATGGGTTGGTAGTTAACTCGAGGTCACCTAACAACAAGGGAAATAAAGGCATTTGGGGTTTCTTTTAGAAGATGATCCCAGATAACAATGCATGGCACATTAACCTCATATAGACACAGTGGCTGGGCCAGAGACCTAATGCAGTTCTAGTTGCCTTAAGAAAGCACATGTGCCAGACCAGACTTCAGAGCAGCCCTCATCTCAGTTTGGTTCAAGTGACAACAGAAGTGGGAGGTGGTGGTGAAGGTTCATTTGATTCTTCTTCCCCCCATGATGAGTTGATGGTGAAAAGCTGCATCAGCCCTCCTGGACCAGGGTGGAGGGCACTCCAGAGTGACAGGACCGGTGCAGAAATAACTCATTCGGTTGGCTTCCAGAGCTGGGCTCCTACAACTAAGCTGGATACTCAGTGCTCACCGAGTGTCTTCTACCTGGCTGGTTCTGAGAGTGCAGAGATAGCAGGGACACCAGCTTCATCCTGAGGGAGTTCATGGTCAAAGAGAAGAGTCAGACATATTCAGTCAACGACCGGAACCAACACATGGCATCTTAAGAATAAGAAGAGGGCGTCTGGCCAGAATCCTATGGGAGGAAGCCTACATGCTCTCAGATCTGATCTCAGCTTTGCCTGGATGCTCCTAGTCCTAGCAGCATCTTCACCAGCTATTAGCATTTGAGATACTCCATAAAAAAATGAGGAAGAGTCACAAGGCTGAAGGTGGAAAGGACATTTAAAAAATTTATTTTTAATTAATTTTAATGAAAGTTTACAGAGACTTAGGGTTTCCAGTCATTCATTGTTGCACTTTTCTCCCTCCCCACCCCCAATGCACTCTTCTTGAAAAGAAAGAAAAACTCTTTCATTTTTTATGCAATCCCTCCTCCCAAGTCCACACCACTAAGCAGCCTTCACTCTGGACTTCTGTAATGACAAGAATACCCAATCACATGTCCCTTTCAAACAGTTCTCTCCCTCATCTGTTTCAATGCAATCAATATACATCATTCCTCCCCCTCCTTTTCTGTCTTCCCTCAACCCTGATGCCAGTCCCGTTTTACTATGCAAGACGAAGAACAATTGTTTTGGTTTAGAATATCTCAGTGAGTTGCAATCTTACGACTGAAGTGTAGAATGTATTGGGGGACAAGGCAGGAGAGTTAGGCGAGACCTGGGGCTGACCTAATGACAAAGAATAGAGCTTTTCCTTGCTATATTCCCAGGTGGTTCTGGTCCCTGGGAATCGTGTTTCTTGTGGATGATCTATGGGTTACAACGTTCCAGGTCATCTTGCCTTCTTGGGGAAGAAATAACCACGGGAAGGTGCTTTGGAGGCAAGCTCTGGCAGGCTGGTGACCGAGTTAAGAGGCATTCAGCAGTGGTGAGTCCTTTCCTTCCCCTTACCTGAGAAGGCTTCTCTAGAAAGAAGCAACTTTTGGTTCTGCATTGTTTTTCTTCTGGAGTTGTGACCTAGTAGGCAGGAGATGACAGAAGATGGTCTTTATGGGGTCCAGGGTTTGGGCACCCTTCAGCCAGCGGGGAGGTGGGAAGGGCTGGCGGGAGAGCGCACCTGAAGGACCGGGCCTGCCAGAGGAAGCTTTGGCCTTTGGTCATCTCCTGGGCCAGCCTCTTTAAGTCATCCCCTTCAAAGAGTGGCAAGACAGGAGCCTTGGAAAGGAGGAAGAAAAGGGAGATCAAATCCACTTAATGACTGGAGGACACGTGAAAAATCCAAAATCTCTAGAGCAGGATAATGCCGACTTCCTCCCATACGAGGGAAATCTGATAGGCCTGATCTTGCATGCCTGCAGGGATGGGGAACACACTACTCCCTGAAGTGGTGAGTGTCCATGCAGCAAACTGGACACTTGGAAATAAAAGGACTGACAGTGCCAGGAGTGGGCTGTGGCAAAGCAAGCTGGACTCTGAACTCTGCTATCAGCCTGGCTCTGGGTTCTGAAGACAAGAAATACTTCTGTCCTCTTATTTGACAGCTCTTTTACCATTTCTTCAAGTAAAACAGAGGCGTACTATATTCTTATGTTCACTAAGGTAATGACAGGGTTTAGTCAACCCCAAAGGAATTGCCCTGTTAGGATCGAATTATCATCTGTTTCACAGGAGGAGGATGGGTAATTTCCCCCCGTGTGATTTACTGCCCCGGCTGGAGGGTCAGCCATGAGTCAGTCCTGACTCGATGGTACTCAACAACAACAACAACAGTCTTATAAACTCGTGAGGATGGCTGGCACAGGACAGGGCAAAGTGCATGTCTGTTGTTCATAGGGTCACTATGGGTTGTGGCTGCCTCAAAGGCACCTAACAACAGTTCTCATTAACAGAAATTGTCACCATTAACGAGAGAGTCTAAGAAGATGATGTGGCCTCTTCTCTCCGACAGCGGTAGTGAGAGAGATTCTATTCTGCTTCCAAAAACTCTTTGAAGACTCTGATTCGATAAAATAATAAACTGAAAACCCACATGGTATCATCAAATTTATTTTTTAGGATCCTTGGATGAATGTTGTTGCTAAGGGCCATCGAGTTGAGTGCAACTCATAGTGACCCTGTGAACAATAGATCTGAACCATGTCCTATCTACGACACACCGGAGCCCATCGCTGCTGTTACCATATCAATCTATCTTATTAAGGGTCTCATACTCCTTCACTGGTTCTCCACCTCTCCCAGCAGGAAGCAGCGCAAAATCTTGGGTGAATAGTCTATTTTTGCCAATTTGTTCTGCTCATTGTATTATTTGTACTCAGAAGGGTTCCTTGAACAAAGGAGTTAAGGAAAGTAGTAAGGCTTCAAAAATCATACCATGTCCTATGAAAGTAACCTTTAACTTTCCCAGAGAAATCTGGAATCCTGATTGGCTGTCATACTTGAGAATTTGTTTTTCTGGGAATGCTATGATTGATGGCTACAGAGAGTTAAATTGGGCTGCTCCTTGGAGGCAAGGATTCTGAAGCCTCGTCTGACATACTTTGGACATGTTACAAGGGGAGCAAGTCCGTAGAGAGGGACGTCATGTTTGGGAGGATGGAGGGACAGTGCAGGAGAGAAAGACCCTCTATGAGTTGGATTGATTCAGTGACTGGAGTAATGGGGGTGGGTGTGTTGGAGACAGTGAGATTGGCACAGGACAGAGCAGGATTTAGGGCTGTTGCACATAGTAGTAGCTATGAGTCGCAGGCGACTGGATGGCACATAACAACATGCATTCCTAAAAGGTAGAAATATGGGTGCAATTTATGAAATCAGAAGAGGATCACTGGTACTGTTCTCCTGGCTATGTTCCTGAGGGAACCTATGGTGTCACTAGCTTATTTTAGCTAACAGAGATTTTGAATATACGTGTTTCAGTGAATTTAACACAAGAAGACAGAAATAAGCAGGAGGGGAAGCTGGACTCCAGCCTTACCTTGGTTCTGACATCAGATGTGTTTTTAAACTTTAACGAGTCTCGAGTCTTGGGGTTTTTTATCTGTTATGGAGTACAGTAATAGCTGGGATGATTAAAAGGGTCTTGTACTGGGAAAACCTGTTATCAAGGACCTTTTCAAGGTGCCACAGAGCAAGGATTTACGTTTAAAGACTAAGATTTGCTTGATCCGAGCCATGATCATTTCGTTTCCTATGCATCTGAAAGTTGGACAATGGCTAAGGATTAACAGGAGAAGAATTGGTGCCTTTGAGTTGTGGTGTTTGAGAAGAGTGGTGAATATGCCATGAACAGCTAAAAGGAAAAACAAGTCTACTTAGAAAAAGTGCAACCAGGGTGCTTTTTAGAGGCAAGAGTGGTGAAACTCTGGCTCCCATATTTTGGGCATGTTATCAGGATGGGCCAGTCTTGGCAAAGGTGGAGAGGTGAAAAAAGAGAGGAAGGGGGAGGGATTGACACAGTGATTGCTACAATGGACTTGAGTGTGTCACAGAGGTGAGCGTGGTGAAGGACACGGCAAGGTTCAGATCTGTTTTGCATAAGGTCGCTATGAGTTACTCAATGGCACCTACCAACTATAAAATGCAAAAACGGAGCTATAGCGGCATAGTCCACAGGGCATCACACTACTAATCCCAAAACTATGGCTCTCTGGTGGTTAGAAGCCACCAGCAACTCAGAGAAAGAAACATGAGTAATCTCCACGTGACTTACAGCCCCTGGAAGCCTGCTGAAGGGTCAGCTATGATCCTGTTCTGACTTGACACCAAAGTGCTTGCACATAGAGACGTGTAATAAATATATGCTATAACAAGTTATGACAGGTCTGGAAGCAGGAGTGGCAACCACTTCCTAAATAACCTGCATCCGGAAACTCTATGACCTTTGATAAATGTTGATAGTTGTACAGGGGCTTCAGGCCTTTTGTTCATAAGGTCGTTTTAAGTCGTGCTCGATTTGAAGGCAATCAACAACAATTCTGCTATTAGTAAATAACTCTGAAGTGCTCAGCTTGAAGAAACAGCAGCAGGGAATACAATGCTTTTCATAACACTTTGTCTTCCCAGAGAAGCAGGCATCTTTTTAGTTGGAGGCAAACAGCTGCCAGCTGCTGCTCTGTGGAACCATTTCAACTTGTCCTCGGCAGCTGCACAGCCTACCCTTTCATCAAGGACGCCTTTGGTCAGCAGACCACGAAGCTGGAAGAGCATGTCCTCCCCGACAGGACAGTGATAACGGCCCCCGGTGAGCGAAGCCAGCCTTCTCAGGAATCCTACCGCTGTCCTAGAGGGGAGGGAGAGAGGGCTGGGCTGAGGCCGGCTGTCTGGGCCTCTCCAAACAAGTGGCCCTGAGCTCAGGTGGAGCCCAGGTCGTGCTGAAGATGTTGGAGAGAAACTGCCCTGGTGATGGGTCTCGAAGCCCGAGGCTCTGTGTCACTGCCATCACCTACACATCCACTTTCTCAGCCAACTGCTGCTAAGGGAAAGGGATTTCTCATGTTGTTTTCCTCATTTGGCCTGGATCCCCTCAAAAAACAGTGCTCGCACATCCCAGCCCCTGGTCACTCATCGGACATTTATCATGGGCTTACTACGTGTTTGGGCAGAATATAGGATTATCTTTATAGATAGATCTCTTTGGACCCACAGATCAAATGCCTTCCTGAGTTACCATGGTGATGACAGCTTTTAACAGAACCATATTTAATTTTAAAATACTTTTATAGTTTATTTAACAATAACATAGAAGTCTTTTTCCCCTGAAGGAATGGAATCTGACCTAACAGTCTTCCACAGTGACCATTTATGGAAATAAACACAACAGCAGCACCACATTATTCTGCGATGTTTTCGCCTCTAGCTTTATTTCCCCTAACTATTGTGGCTGACTCTGAGAAGAATGGGAATCCCAGAACACTTGATTGTTCTAATGCGAAACTTATACTTGCACCAGGAGGCAGTCGTCAGAACAGAGCAAGGGAACACTGCATGGTTCAAAATTGGGAATGGTGTACGCCAGGGATGCATCCTATCTCCATACCTTTTCA